GTCCAGCCTGGCCTTGGACACTTCCAGGGATGGGGCAGCCACAGCTTCTCTGGGCAACCTGTGCCAGGGCCTCCCCACCCTCTGAGTTAAGGATTTCTTTAGGTCATCAATGACAAAGCAAGTGGAGGGAACTGCAGATATTTCCTCAATGTCCAGCTCCTATGGAATTGAGCCTCACACCTCTGGGAATCCTTTGAGTTGTGAGGAAGATCCTCAACTTTCCTCTGTGCTGTTTTGCAAATTAACTTCTATTTACCATTCATTAAGAGTGGCAAAACCTTAAAAAAAAATTAATTCAGGGATTTTGAACTTCCTAAACTTCCACAGATTTTAAAGAGATTCTCTGGCTTGGTCATGGTTGAGAGGAGGTGAGGACTCTTGCTCCCTGTGTCTAGAATACATTCAACTTGTTCAGCAGCCTTTGATGGGTCTGTGAGGGTTGTGAGGCCCTGGCCCAGGTTGCCCAGAGAAGCTGTGGCTGCCCCTGGATCTCTGGAAGTGTCCAAGGCCAGGTTGGAGCAAACTGGTCCAGTGGAAGGTGTCCCTGCCCGTGGCAGGGGGGTGGAATGAGATGGGATTTAAGGTCCCTTCCAACCCAAACCAGTCTGGGATTCTATTTCACGATTCTATAAGGAAATTTTTTATATACTGCCAGCAAACCACCAAATTCCCCAGGCAGAGCCTACCCTGAAATCCCTTCCCATCTTCCTGGTACTGAGGGGTTGTATTGTTGCCTGGGACAGCTTTCTATTTTTACAGCAGGGCCATTCATTGGGTAACACGAGTCTTGCATTTAAATCAAAAACATCTGCAAACAAATGCTTGGCAGGAACCTGAGACATGGATGTGGAAATAAGTAACTACCTCATTCAAAGCATTTCTTCCTCAATGCCTTTTTCCCCTTCGTTGGTGACCAGCAGAGCAGGTGCCTGCTGAGCAAACAGCTTTGCTAACAACACCTTTGTGTTTCCTGCAGACCTCCTTCTCTGAAAAGAGGGGAATCAGCTCTCCGTGACCCGGGAGCCACAAATATTTTCTCCTTGAGCCTCGAGCAGAGGAATAGCTTTTCTTTTTCTTAAGAAGGGAAGTGAGCCTGGCTCTTGCATAAGGAATTCCTGTAAGTGTTTACTTTCTACTTACAGTTGAGAAGGCCATCAGCTACAGTAGCTTCACCCACAAATCACGGCCAAAATCCAAATTTGGCAGAAGGAGTATCAATATAAACTGTACTAAATATTCCAGCTGAACAGGAGCAGGCTGGAGACTCCTGGAGTAGGAGCAGGGAGGTCTGTTCTTGCATGTGTCAGTGGTGAGAGAACACAGGCTTTTTCTGCTGGTACCTTGTAATATGATCCTCCCCTCCTTTGCTTTTCCCCTTCTATCAGCTGAGCTGAGATCTTTAGGGAAGAAAAGTCTTGGGGGGGGGTTATGATTTTGGGACCTGCCCAGTGATCTCCCATCCCAACAAGCCTGGTACTGCCTCACTTCCAAGATACAAGCATGGAGCCCAGTTTGGTTACTGGAGAAGTATTCCCAAGGTATTTTTACACCACGGAAATTCCCGTGTCTCTTGAGGGAGGCATCACATCCGTAGGAAACTAATGAAAATAATTCCCTGCTGCATTACAGGCTGTTAAACCCACACCTGGAAAACAGGCCAAGGACCTTCTGGGATTTTTAACTCTGATTTGATAGCTAATTCCTCAGGGAAATGAGATGCCAGGACGAGCTGAAGATTCCCCCTGGATCTCCCTGCTTTCCTAGGCACTGAAGCATCTCTCACACTCTAATCCAAAGCACTTTGCCCCTTGCTGGAATCTTAATGACACAGTTAAGTGCTCAGATCCCATGAGCTCCAATTTGGCTTAAAGTTAGGGATGGAACTGATACTTATTCCACCAGGAATTGGCCAAGGAAGCCTTGACTTTGCCTTCACCATGTGTGCAGGAGGAAGGCTGCTGTATTTTTCCAGCACTCTTCCTCCCAAAGCTCTGTCTGGAAATGGTGGCAAGATCTTGCTCTTGCCAGGGGGAGGGATAAGGGGGGAACATCTATCAGGAAAAAAAGATCCACGGTAAGAGGATGAAAAGATAGAGGTAGATTCCTCCCTATCCCTGGCAGCTCCCAGCTAGATGCAAGTGCCCACAGGGAAGCTGGATGAGACCAAAGCTCCAAGGCAGCTCCATGGCAAGACAGCATTTATTCCCAGACTTCCAAAGCCTTTTCCTGCTCCCAGGCTCAATGCTCACTCCACAGCCCCTCTCCTGGCTGCTCTTGCCAACTGGGGGCAGCCATCAGAGCAAGCCAAGGGACTGCACAAAGAGGAAGGCCAGGGACAATCCATCACTTTTTCCTGATGGAAAGAGAAGGGCAGAGCTGTTTTTATTCCCTCACACACTGATGGTATAATTTTTCCAGCCTGTTTTTTCCCTCCAGAGAAGTTTGTATGAGGAACACAACCAGATCCAGGGGGGCTGGCAGGGCTGGAGGACTGAACAGGGCTGAGTGAGTTGACCACGGACAGGTTGAGAATCAGTGGCAGAACCAAGGTCACAAATCCCTTAGGATGAGTCCTGAGCAATCTCCCAGTCTCCCTACAGGACCAAGTCACTCAGTGACACTTGCTCCAGACACTGCCTTTCACTGAATGCAGACCAGTTTGAATAATTCCCAGGGAAAAAGAGAAACAACTTACAAAGCCAAGCCATCATCTTCAAAATACGTCCCCATCATTACGTGGCCACTTAGGATGTTTCCTGCCTCTTCAAAAGCTTCCCTGGCTGGAAAAAAAAAAAAAAAAAAAATAAAAATACAAGAATAAACAATAGAAAGGGAGGTGTTGAGGTTCCTCCTGGAAACCAATCGATGCCTGTGCACGTAACACCCCTCCCACGGCGAAGTGTCGGGAATGAAACCAGGATTAGAGGCTCATGAGAAATGGCTGCAGCTCAGGGCCACAGGCCATGGGAGGAGGAGCTGGCAGTGACCAAGGATGAGAGGAAAATTCCCATTCTGAGAAGAGGGGACTGCTCTTCAGTCCCCAGCCCTGTGTTTCCAGGATCTGCAGGGGAGAGGCACTGCTGGAAAACGAAATGTCTTTAAGGGCTTTAAGTCTGTAAGTGTTCTTAAGAACAGGAGCAATTATAAGTCTAAACAGAAATCTTACGAATCCCGGTGACCTTTGGGAAATGACAGATGATGACTTTACAGGAGTAGTGTTAAGAGCCCAGAGATAAACCAACCTCTCCTACGGGTGCCTGGGTTTAACCAGTTCCTCTGAGCAGGCTGGGACTGTCACAGGATGGGGAAGGAGCAGCTTGGGGCTCTTTTGATCTGTCACAGCTAAGACAGAGAGTAGAGCCCCAGAAGGAAGCCGACTCCAGAACTGGTTTATTCCCTTATAAAACAGCCTCAGTTTTCAAGGAATCCCAGGATGGTTTGGGTTGGAAGGAACTTTAATGCTCATCTAGTCCAACCTCCTGCCACGGGCAGGGACACCTTCCACCAGCCCAGGTCGCTCCAAGCCCTGTCCAACCTGGCCGCGGTTTTCGGCAGTTGGATCCACGGGAAAGCCAAGCTTTGTGGGAACATGCAAAGCACTGTGTGTGAGCTTGTGCAATGCAGTCAGAGACCAGAGATCCAAACAGCTGCTGCCAAAGGTGGGGTGAGAACAGGGTGGATTTCAACACCACCACCACCACTCCTCCTCCTTCGGATTGAGCAACCGAGAGCAACCGAAAAGGCTCTTCTGACTTAGGGAGAGTGAGAAATGTCCCTCTTTGGAGAAGGCAGGTTTTTGCTGAGAATTAAGGTTCTGTCTCAGATACAGTCGTGATATGTGTTGCTTTATAACTTCAGTGAGATCAGTCAGACCTCAGTTGTGTTCCCTAGAACATTCACAGCAGCCAGCCCAAGCTCCTGGGACCATTGACTCACCTCAGTAGACGGGGCCACCTCACAAATGGTCACTTTTTGGTTCTTTGACTCCTCTTTTCCAGCTACACCCAAAGCCATATTTTCCATTGTGTCCCACAGGGACCATAAACTGTCATTTAAGCTATTTTCCTTTTCAAATGGAAGCTTAGACCCTTAAGGAGTGTCCCATCGGGGGTTCAGACATCGTCATAGAACCCCAGGATAGTTAGGGTTGGAAGGATCCTTAAAGCTCACCTCATTCCAAC